TGTGATACTGCCACATTCAACAGGACTGCCTTTTATGGCCAGTAGAATGCCAGGGAAGGGACAGTACATGATGTCCATGATGAAGGTCAAAAAGGGCACTGTACCCTCCGCCTTGGTCTCTAAGATCTCTAATTCTGGGAAAACTCAGCTGCTATGTACCACAACACTCAAGAAGACCTGGAGAGCCCCTTATGAAGAACAACTCCAGACAGCAGCACCACCACATGGATGGATTTTTTTTCTAGTAGAAAGAATAATTTCAAAGTTTACAGTTTATTGCCTTGTGGATTTTATGCACAAGTGTGAACCAGATGGTCCCTGTTGCCCAGGATAGGATAGAGGACTTTCCTAGGTTGTGGACTTTTTAAAGGCTAAATAAAACCAGGACTGGGCCCTCCCTGGTGGTGCAGTGGGTTGGGACACAGCACTGCAAGCTGGCTGCAGCTGTTTCAGTATGAGTTGGGTCCCCGTCCCAGAGGTGACCCAAGACAGACCTCTCAGAGGTGACAGCAGATCTCTCCTGATCCACCCGCTACTCCCCTCAGCAGTGTATTTTGTCAATCTGCCTATTCTGCTCCCTACTCTGTCTCTAGTGAATCCTCTCACCATCCCTGGACCTCTGGCCTGTACCCCAGTTCTGTATGCATAAATAAATAAATCTCTAAAAATGCATAAAGCCAGGACTGTCCCAGACAAATGGGGACAGGTGGATCATTCTACCTGTAAGACATTAGCCAGTCTGGGAATTGATGTGGCTATTTTTTTTTTTTTAGCCTTTTATCTTTCATTGACCGGAAATGCCCCTGAACCAGTTTTATATGATAGACCCTGTTTCCAGGGTTTGACACATAGTTGAACTTATTCTATGAGAATGGTACAATTACTGCTATTTTCAGAGGACACAAACACAGAGACTTCCCAAGGTCACCTCTGTAGTATGTGAAAGTCAGGAAATACTGTAGCTAAAATGACCTGTGTGCTTAACTGTTCACCTGACTCTTCTCCATCATCACAGGTGAACAGTTAAGCACACATGTGGAGAAGAAATGCTCAGACCCAGCAAATACCAGTGGGCCTGCAGATACAGCCTGAGCCTGTGCTGCCCCCTACTGGCCAATTCTGTAGCTTTAACCTGATCTCCAGTCTCCTGTGCCACCAGAGTTTGAGCCTGGGCATTTTGGTGTAGAAAGAAAGCCATTGCCTGGTGGAAAGGCAAATAGGGATGATTGAACGAAACTACTCAGAGTCAGAATAGATGCCAGAAAAAAAACCCTCTGCCCCCAAATGCTACACAATGTACCCCAAATAGAAATGTTTAGCTTTAAAGAAAAGTTAGTATTTGGATTATTCTTTTTTTAATAATAATAATTTATTTTTACATTATTTTGTGCATTTTCCATCTCAGTTGTAATCCCCGTGGGCTTCCCATCACCAAATCACCCGTGTGCATTAACCATAGTCCAGTGCTTTTCCCTTCCCCCACTGTTTTTGATCCCATTCCCCACTCCACCCCCACAAAATGTCTCTGGTATATAGTAGTTCGTTATTATTATTATTTTCTCGCCTGGTACGTTATACTCCTGCTATGAGTGAAACCAGTCGGTATTTTTCCTTTTCATTCTGGCTCATTTCATTAAGCGTGATCTTTTAGTATTTGGATTATTCTTACATTAGAAAGATGTAATGGCAATTTACCATCTTAGTATTAACAGTTGGTTCTCCCAAATTATTTTTTAAAATATGGGTGCTGGCCCCCCCACCCCCGGTGGTGATGTACACAGCCACTGCAGCACAAGTTCCGTCCTGGCCAGGGAGCTGACCACATGACACAGCAGACCTCTCTTGTCTCACCTACTGTTTCCCTCAACAGTGGACTTCAGTCAGTCTGCCTGTTCTGCCCCTTACTCTCTCTCTGGTGAGTCCTCTTACCCCTACTCACCTCTGGCCTGTACCCCAGTTCTTGTAAGCATAAATAAGTATTTAAAAAATACAGGTGCCCATGTGCCATTCCAAGCCTGCTAGATCAGACCCACTAGCTCTTATTACTTCTCAGAGCTACTTTTTAAAACCCCAAAGTTTCTCAGACCATTAGTACCCAAATCTAGCAGTTTAAGAAAGGCCTTTTCATTTGGGCTTTCAGTAGAAAACTGCTATTTTACAATTGTTAATTTTGGATAAATGATTGCAATCCCCATTTCTTCTGTTTTCTCCCCCCTCCCTTGTCTGTAGACATGCCAATTCCATCCTATCTGGTGGAGCGCAGATGATTTTCCTTTCTCTTTGGAAGAAACCAATTGTGCTGCCTCATCCACCTACACTGCTCACTCTAAAATGGGTCCATTCCTTGGATTCTCCTGGACCTGCTATAATAGCTGCCTGATTCCCTCCGAGTTTACTGATTTCAGAACACACATTCATTTGATATCTGGGAATTGTGATTTTACCTTTTTGGATAAAATTATCTTTATTACATCCATGGCAAGTATTTTCCTTTTCTGTCATCCTTGCCACCTGCTCCTTATGCTATTTGCTTTAGTTAAAAACTCAGTGGGTTTCAGCCCCTCCCTGGTGGCACAACAAGTTAAAGCACAGCACTGTGGGGCTAACCAAAGCTACTGCAGCATGAGTTAGATTCCTGGCCAGAGAGCTGACCCAAATGGCATGGCAGACCTCTCCTGACTCACCTGCTGCTACTCTCAGTAGTGGATTTCAGTTGATCTGCCTGTTCTGCTCCCCACTCTGCCTCTGATGAATCCCCTCACCCTCTCACTCTTTGTACCTCTAACCTGTATCCCAGCTCTTATATGCATAAATAAATAAATCTTTAAAAAAATAAACTCGGCCCTCCCTGGTGGCGCAGGGGGTTAAAGCACAGCACTAAGAAGCTTAAGTCACTTCCGTCATGAATTCAATCCCCGCCTGCCCTGGAGGAGATCCACATGGCTCAGCAGACCTCCTGACCTGTCCGCTACTCCCCTCAGCAGTGTACTTCATTGATCTGCCTGTTCTGCTCCCCACTCTTGTCTATGGTGAATCCTCTCACCCTCTGCATCTCTGGCCTGTACCCCAGGTCTGTATGAATAAATGAATAAATCTTAAAAAAAAAAAAACTCAGTGGATTTCCTTAGAAATGGGCTCCTGACCTTGTAATTGTTCCTCAAATATAATGTCTGTGCAAGGGGAAGATCTTTTCTGGGTTCTAACTCTCAAGTACCTCACTCAGGCATTTACTCTTTCATTCTAACTCTTTTTGCAAATATAAAGTCCCTGTATACAACATGAGTACACAAACTCATTTATAAGAATGAATGCTACTTATCCAAATATTAATTATTCAGCACTTACTAGGTACTATGCAGAATGTCAAAGAACTGTCCCAGGGAGCTGACAGTCCAGAGAGAGGGACAGACAGTGCAAATGAATATTTATTTCCAAATTTCCAGACCAAAAGATGAAATATGCCCTCACTGGTAGCACAGCAGGTTAAAGCACAGCACTAAGAAGCTAAAGTCACTTCAGCATGAGTTCAATCCCTGCCCCAGAGGTGACCCACATGGTGTGGCAGACCCCTCCTGACCCACTCGCTGCTCCCCTCTACAGTGTACTTTGTCAATCTGCCTGTTCTGCCCCAACTCTGTCTCTGGTGAATCCTCTCACTGCTCCTGCACTTCTGGCTTGAACCTCAGTTCTGTATTGTATAAATAAATAAATCTTTTTTTTTTTTAAAGATTTATTTATTTATTTGTGCATACAGAACTGGGGTACAGGCCAGAGGCTCAGGGGCGGTGAGAGGCTTCACCAGAGACAGAGTGGGGAGCAGAACAGGCAGATCGACGAAGTACACTGCTGAGGGAAGCAGCGGGCGGGTCAGGAGAGGTCTGGCTCGCCATGTGGTCTCCTCCGGGGCAGGCAGCAGGCGGGAATCGAACTCATGCGGAAGTGGCTTCAGATTCTCGGTGCTGTGCTTTAACCCGCTGCGCCACCAGGGAGGGCCAATAAATAAATCTTTTAAAAAAAAAAAAAAGATGAAATACATCTCTGGAACTAAAATTACAATAATTAATAAAAAGGAGAGGTCAATATGGACCAGAATCCTGAAAGGCATTCTGGTTTATCTTTTGCAGAGTAACAAATCAGCCCACATTCAGAGGGATAAGACAACTGTTAATTACGTTCATGAATTCTTCAGGTCAGGAATTGGGAAAGGCCTGGTGGGGGTGGCTCTCACAATGGCAGGCACTGAGCAGAAAAGCTCAAAATATTGGAGGCATCACAGAGTCTGAGGGGGGCGCTTAGAAAGGGCTCATTCACTAACATCTGGCAGGTAGGTGATGCTGACTGTTGATTGAAACTTGGAGTCACGGGTCAGAACATGCTTTTTCATGTTAACCTGGAACTTCTTCCATGATTGTGGCTTGGATCCAGGGTGATGCAACCCCAGAGAGAGCTAGGCGGAAGCTGCAGTCTTTTAGGACATGCCCCAGAAGTCATCTGGTGTCACGTCCACCACATTCTATTCAGGGCCGGCTTCGCAGACATGAGACTTGTCAGAAACAGTAAGCATGCTTATTGGAACCCCGGAATGCGTCTCTTGGCTGGGTGATTGGCCAGGTGGATGGGTGAGTGAATAGATACACCTCAGGAAGCAACGCCAAGGCTTGAGTCAGTTCCGAGTTGTTTCCCTAGGTTGCCCACCTTGTGGGAGATGATACCCCTGGGTAGGTAGTGCACGGGAGATTGATTTTGTCGACTCCCTTGGGTGTAGAGCTAGGAGACCCTCTCTTCGGCATCCCAAACACTATTGGGAGCCTGAGCCGGTACGGCGCACAGCTGCTCCCCCAGTCAGGAAAGGATCTCAGGTGAGCACCCTCAGGGTCCGCGGCGGGGCAAGCGCGCGTGCGCGCAGGTGAGCGCTCCGCCCCGCCCTGCCCCGCCCCTGGGCTTGGCCACCTGCCTGGGAAACTTGTGGATTGTTGCCCTCGGGTCGCTCCGGGGCGGGGACACGGATCCCAACTATGGAAGATACGTCGGGGACGCGAGAGTCCCGGACCCGGTCGCGAGAGAGGGACCCAGACCGGCATCCCCGCCGGGACCGAAACCGCCACCCCGAGCGACCGCGGGACAGCCACGCAGAGCGACCGCGGGACAGACCAGCGGAGCGGCGCAGAGAGAGAAACGGGGGCGGGCGGAGGGACGGGGACCGGAACAGAGGGAGGGACCGAGACCCCCGCCAGGACCTACACCAGCTCGGAGACTATCACGCTGATGAACCAAGAGCTTGGGGAAAATCCCGCCAAAGTCAGGCGCGGGAAGCACCTCGGAGGCCGACCTGGGACGCAGCCCCGCCCCCCTGGCCTAGGGAAGCCGGGGAGCCGACGCCCTCCAGGAAGGAAGGCTTCGGGCGCCGCGCACCGCCAAGGTAAGCTGAGGTTGGGGGGCCCTGCAAGCTCGGTGCTAGAAGCCCAGATCTCAGGCCCGCCTGCTTTCTTCCCCTCCCACTACTCCGGCTACTTGTCCATAAAGTCGACTTAAAGGAAGACGGTGAATTCTTTTCCGTGCTTAGAGGTGACTTGGGAGGGAAGGCAAACCTCACGCTGCCTCCACTTCGTGACCCGAACTCGATTAACATAGCAGAACACACCCCTATTCGCTGTGGCAGCTCCGAGGCTGCGGGCAAGGAGGAAGAGAGGACTTCGGGACAGGAAAGGGAGGGGGTAGGAAGATCAGGTAGGTGGGGTTAACCTGAGCTCCTCGTCCTGAGTTCCAACACCAACCCTCCCCCAAATCCTCTACCTTGAAGGCTGGGCCTTAAAAAGTGCATAACGAAGAGTTAACAATGGAATGCATAACCCCTTCCAGGGATAGGTACTCTTCCAAACATTGCTGGGAGAAGCTTTTATTCAAATAATTAAATCCACCTAAAACTCTCTTAAGGACAGAGATCTCCCCCACCCCCACTCGCGGCCCCCTTTGTCACTGAGGTCTTTTGGGGTACCTTCATTCAAATTCTTATTGCTCTAGACCCCACCCTCCTGGACAACCCTCCTGCTTTGTTGAACACAGAATTCCCAGAAGGCCTTGGGAGGCAAAAGGTCCCTGCGGTTCTCAAAGACTGATCTGAAGGGAAGAGAGGCGACTTGGACCTCGACATGGACCCCACACCCTCTTCTAGGGAACTGGTCTTGTTCCCATCCAACAATCTATTTACTTTGTAAATATCACTGAATGCTCAGCTGGCTGTCAGGCCGCAGATGGCAGGCTGGACCTGGTACTCTGATAACTGCTCTCTTCTCTGAGAAGTCAGTCTCCTTGCTGCTCTGGGACTTGGAAGCTGAAGCTCAGTCTTCTTCCTTGTTAGGTTTACACAGCAGGAAAGCCACTATCCTGAGTTTATGTTGCATTATCTAAAACCAACTAACCAAACTATAACAAAGGGTGTGCCCAGATACCAGATATTGTTTCCTTGGCTAAAAACAAATTTAGTATTGTGGTCAGTGCATGACCTGGAAGAACTCAGGGCTACATTGTAGGTTTTCTTGTCAGTCGGCTGGCAGTTTGAAACCAAAGGGCAATTTGTCTTTCCTCCCCGGGACAAGCCTTTACTCAGTGGATAAGGTGTAGGGCAGGGGTTAATGAATCACATCTACTCTGTGTCCACAATCTGGTTGGGAGACTGACAGATAAATGGGCCCATTGCAGTTCCTGAAGAAGCAGCAGGTCAGAACACAGAGGTGGGCCCTGCCTGTCTGGGGGAGATAACTTCAAAACTGGGTTGTAGAAAAGGAGCCAGAAGGTGGAAAGAGGAAGACGAAAAGTACCAAACACGGAAATAACTTCCCCAGTGACCTAAAGGCGTGTATTGCTGGTCAAGGGGTTGAAGGGGACTTACCTATGGCAAGTTCCCTATGGCTGAGTATGTGAACATGACAGGTGAGCAGGGGGGTCTCATGTGTTCTGTAAACTTTATCCAAGGTGACAAGAGTTTAAGGATTTCAAACCCCAAAGATACATGATGAGCTAGGTTCTAGAAGACTCTCTGGAACTCAGCAAGTAGGATGTAGCCCCACCAAAGCCTAGGAGATGCCAGATAATGGGGGTGGGTTGGGGTGGAAGAAAGTAACAGAAAGTGCCAGGACTGTCACAAAGAGGGAGACATCTGATGTGCAAAGCTATCCGTCATCCAACATGCTTAGAGCTCAGCTCTAATAAAGCAAGGGAAGGGGAAAAAATGCCAGCCTGGGCACCAGAGTTGTGAACACAGACCATTTTGAAGAGGGGGTGGGCCCTGCTGAGCTAGAACTGAAGCTCAAAAGTCAGCTCCAGACTCCCTGGTTCGACAGTTCTCCAGACAGACAAAGCAGCATCCAAGCCGGTGCTCTGAATTATAGGGGTATGGGATGTGGATGGCTAACCAACTGGGCCAAGTATTTGGATGCTCTATGAGGCCACTGAGCTACAGAATTCTCTAGAGTATGAAATGCTATGATCAATTTCTTATACTTTTGCACAGTCTTTTAAGGTCTTGGACTAGTGTGAGGTGTCCTATTATAGGGTACATGGTTGAATATGAGGCCCCCTAATGGCCCTGTCTGGTTTTGATCCTAGTGAACTCACTCTGGGGAGATACCTGCCCCAGGATGCCTGGCCTGGTGAAGAAGTAGAATATTACCAGTCAGAGGCTGAAGGACTCCTGGAATGCCATAAATGCAGATATTTGTGCACTGGGAGAGGTGAGCCATTTGGGAGACACTTGGACCATTCACTGTCACTGGTGGTTCTGGAAGGGGTCTGAGCTGGTAAAGCAAAAATGCAAGGAAACATCCTTCTTAGGTTCCTAGAATCCTCACTTTATCTACATGAGGTTCTCATTTTTCTTAAAAAAAAAAAAAAAAAAAAAAAGGAACTGAAAAATCTGAAAGATGTGACTAGATTTCTGTGCTTCTCTGCAAATGTGGCCTGAGGTTCCACTGAGGCCAGCAGCCAGTGGTTTTGGGCTGCAGGTGGAACCACAGTGCTAGGCAGGCAGAACCAGAGCCTCTGAAGGCTGATCCAGGCTTGGGTCAGAGGGAACATCCCCTGTAGGAGGCAGCATCACAGGACAGGCAATCTGACACCTGAGACCCACAGTAAGACATTTTAAGTTAAAACCAAGTTTTCTCACAAGCACAGGGACATGATACTGTACTACCTTACCACATACCAACTGCTCCAGTGCTTTCTATTCTATTCCATTTCATTTACTTCATTTCACTAAGAACAAACAGAAACACGGGCCCTCCCTGGTGGCACAATGGGTTAGGACGCAGCACTGCAAGCTAACTGCAGCTGCCTCAGTGCGAGTTCTATCCTGGCCCCAGAGGTGATCCACATGGCGTGGCAGACCTCTCCTGGCCCGCCCACTGCTCCCCTCAGCAGTGTACTTTGTTGATCTGCCTGTTCTGCTCCCCACTCTGTCTCTGGTGAAGCCTCTCACTGACCCTGCATCTCTGGCTTGTACCCCAGTTCTATTTGTATAAATAAATAAATCTTAAACAAACAGAAACAAAAAACCACCCTTGTTAAAATATATCATTTGAGGCCCTCCCTGGTGGCGCAGCGGGTTAAAGCACTGCACTAAGAAAGCTAAAGCCACTTCCGCATGAGTTCGATCCTTGCCTGCCCCAGAGGTGACCACATGGCGCGGCAGACCTCTCCTGACCCGCCCGCTGCTCCCCTCAGCAGTGTACTTCGTCGATCTGCCTGTTCTGCTCCTCACTCTGTCTCTGGTGAATCCTCTCACCCTCCACATCTCTGGCCTGTACCCCAGTTCTGTATGAATAAATAAATCTTTAAAAAAAAAAATCTACCATTTGAAAAATACTTCAATAATATCCCATGTCAGTTCCCAAAGTGGTTTCCCAGCATTCCCCTCCTAACATGAGTCCTGGCCTCACCAACAGTGAAGAAAATCTGGTTTCTCAGGGTGAGCTCTTTGGACTCACATGACTTGCTGTGAAATTTTCTCAGGCTGTGTATGACTAAGGGAAAAGTTCTCAGCCTAAGGGAGAGAATTCAGGAAACTTGTGCCGGAAAATGTAATTTAGGATAATTGCAATGATGTACATGATAATAGGATTATAGAACTTTCATCTGGGGAGCCCTAGGAATCCACATGCAAGGGTCCTCACTCTAGCTTACCTGTGTGGGCACAGCATCATGACTTTTCATTTTTTCGACAAGCCTTGGAGAACAAGCAGGTTTCCTAAGTAACACAGAACCTAATTCAAAGACTTGAAATGGTTTACTTACTTCACCTTTTTTTCTTTTCTTTCTTTTTTTTTTTTTTTTTAAGATTTATTTATTTGTTCATACAGAACTGGGGTACAGGCCAGAGGCTCAGGGGTGGTGAGAGGCTTCACCAGAGACAGAGCGGGGAGCAGAACAGGCAGATCGATGAAGTACACTGCTGAGGGGAGCAGCGGGCGGGTCAGGAGAAGTCTGCCACGCCATGTGGATCACCTCCGGGGTAGGGAGGGATTGAACTCATGCTAAAGTGGCTTTAGCTTCTTATTGCTGTGCTTTAACCCGCTGCACCACCAGGGAGAGCCCACCTTTTTTTCTTGATGATAAAAACAAAAAACAGTAGGACTAAACCAGAGGCTGGCTAACAGATTTCTCTGTAAAGATGAATTTTTTTCTAAGTCAATTTACTAAAAAGAAAGGGGGAACTGGAGGCTTCTGACCAAAGCACATCTTGATATAGGTTGGATTGGCTTTGTGCCTTGAGATTGGGTTTTTGAATCACAAGAGTGAAAGGATGGCCCGGCAGTCAGGACCTAACAAATGAGAGCATACAAAGAACTCTGGATGCCCAGAGCCCCATATAAACACACAGTCTGGTGTTTGAGAAGAAACAGGCATTAAGCACTAGGAACTTATATCTCCCACAGGAAATGCATACCTGGATAAAAGTCACCCAGAGATTTTCAGCTTGAACGTAGAGTAGATCTTTTGTGCTTTCTTTTCCTCATTAGAGAGAGGATGTCTTCCACTAGTAAACCGGCAGAAGTAGGAGGCAGAGGTAGCGCTAACTCCCTAGAGGTTCCCTGAAGTTCACTGGAACACTGAGGACAAAAGAGATCTCAAATTCACTTTCACAGGCATATTCACTTAGATATTAGAATCTTTAGGGGATGAGCTTACTTGCTTTAAGTAAAAACAAGTACAAACACACCATATGCTCAGCAGACCACCAGGGAGTCCTGTGTGGGCAGGCCTTGTTCATGGATTTTTTGGATGGACCCATGAAGAGTTATAGGTGCCCCAGAAAGAAAGTACCTCTCCTGCTGCCCTCCTTGGCTCCCAAGTTTGCATTTGGAACAGTTTCTCCCTTCCTTTGTGTTCTTGGCCTCTCCCCTTAAACCCTTAGCTTTCAAATCAAGTGATGTTTGCTTTCCGCTGTGGTTTTAATTGCTGAGCATCTCTGTAAGTTTAATTGTATTTTCACCCAGGAAAGTTGCCATCTCCAGCAGTGGAACTTGTCTCTCACTCAGGACCTAGAGATTTAGTCCTGAGGTGTCTTCCCACTGACTATGACATGGACTTGTGATCATGCTAAAAAGTTTCCTTGGGGCAGAGTGAGATTTTTTTCTCAGTTATTTACATTCTCAATACCTGTGCCTTGTATATATATGTATCTCATGCACTAACCCTTATCTGGATGGCGCCTATGTCAAGATTATCAAACCATGGTTGCCTCTTACGAGTGTTAACTAACAGCTGTGAAGGACTCACCAGAGTCAGAACAAAGAAAAGACCTAAAGTGAAGTACTGGTCACTTAAACAGCCTCGCAAGGGCTTGGGCGACAGAGAGGCACTGGTTCTTTATTTTAAAAAACAGATCCCACACTGGGTGTCTTCCCAGCCCTGAGGATTCTTTTCTGGTTCTATTAAAGCTAAAACAGCAATAAATGTCTGTGGGGCTTTTTCCTCAGCCTTCCCCCAATACAATATTAATAAACAGCATATATTTGCTCCCATGTAAAAAACATCAGGAACAGCTTACCTTGGAATTATTTCAATTCACTATAGTAATGTATAGAGCCTTTAAAAAATATAAAGTCAATTCCTATTTGCTGCAGTATAAACAAATTTAACAGCTAAAGATATGCATATAGTTCAGAAAAGTACAGATGAAAACATAAATCACATAGGTATTTTTTAATTGATGGAATTTTAGGTACTTTTATATTATGTGATAAACTTTATAGTAAGTATAGCTTATTATAATTTAATGATTTGTTATTTCTTTATGATGAAAAACATTAATGCTATTTGCATAGGGTGGGGAATTAATATTGTGTAAAGATAATATGGGAGAATGCATGATTTCAAAGACAGAATGTGTAAAGGTAACACAGCTTCATATATAGACCAACTGGACCCAGCACAAAATCTGGTTCTCCCCAAATCAGTAAGATTCAGGCAATTTGATCCCTAAGCTGGCTGACCCACTAGAACCATTTCAACAAGTACAATTTCCCTCCAGTTCAGAAGCTCCTGGCTTTTTTATTGTTCTAAATAGCAGAAGCCACACACAGAAGGGTACCTAACTGTATGATCATATTTACATGAAACTCTAGAAAGGCAAACCTAATTTCAAAAAGCAGAAAATACATCAGTGCTTGCCTGAGGTGAGAGGAGAGGACTGACCACATAGTGTCACCAGGGAACTTTATGGGCATATGAAAACCTTCTATGTCTTGATTATGATACAATGCACTGCACAGACACTGTCAAAACACCAAGGTGTACACTTGATGTGGGTCATTTTGTTACACCTCAATGAAGTATTTTTTTAAGATTTTGGGGAAAGCTGCCAGTTTGGGTAGAAGAGCTAATGTCTTTGCTTGTCCAAGATAAGGAATCTAAGGGCCCTGCAAGAATCAAGCCCTGGGAAAAACCCAGATTTGCTCTTTAGGGAAATTAATGAACACAAAGTGAAACTTAAAACCTGCTTGGTGAACTATAGTCCGAGAACAATAAAACCTAGTATGCTGCTTAATTCAGGAAGTATTATGGGCTTAATGAACTTAATCTTTTCCATTTCTAATACCTGTAAATCACATCTTGATATATGACTTACATGCTTTTTTCTTAAAGATTTACTTATTTATGCACAGAGAACTGGGGTCCAGAGTCAGAGTGGGGAGCAGAGCAGACAGATCAATGAAGTACACTGCTGAGGGAGCAGCAGGTGGGACTGAGAGGTCTACTGAGCCATGTGGGTCACCTCCCTGGCTCGGGATCAAAGTCATGCTGAAGCAGCTGCTGCTAGCTTTGCAGTGCTGTGCTTTAACTTGCATCACCAGGGAGGGCCCACTTATATGCTTTTTCTAACTTCATTTTTTAATGTTCTATGTTACAATTTCCTTCCAACTTGGAACCACCTTTTCTTTCAAAGTGAAGAGAGCCACACAACATTTATCTAAAGAGACAATAACTTTTTTTGCACGGGAGGGCTGGGGTAGAGGAGGTTCTCATCTTCTACAGCAGCCTCTCGTTCTGACTGGACTGAACTCTCCCACCATCTTCCAGCACTCTCACCTAGGGCGGTGGCTGTGCTCTGTTGAAAATCCAAAGCACCTCTGACCTCATTTCTGGAGGCACAGTTGCCTGCCTTCATCTGCTGCTAATCCTACAGCTCTGGCTGCTCAGGTTTTCCCTGGGGCAGAATAAAGAACCACTGCAGCAGAGCTGCCAATGGTGAGATAAAGGTCCCTTTAGGCAGACCTATGGCCTAAGTGATAACACACCCTTCTTTTGCAGCATGCTGTCAAATGCTGGAACTCCTCCTGAACTTGTTGATCCTGGTCTGCAGCTCTGTATCTTACAGTTCCACAGGTGGCTATACAGGCATCACCAGCCTAGGGGGCATTTACTATTACCAGTATGGAGGGGCTTACAGTGGTTTTGATGGTGCTGATGGGGAGAAAGCCCAGCAGCTGGACGTCCAGTTCTACCAGCTAAAGCTGCCCACGGTCACTACCGCAATGGCCTGCAGTGGTGCGCTCATGGCCTTCTGCTGCCTCCTCCTCACCCTGGGCATTCTTCGGGTCCCAGAGCATTGTCCCTGGTGGCTGGTGGTTGAAAGCTTATTGGATGTGCTCATCGCAGGCGCCTACATCCCTGCTCTGTACCTGTATTTCCACCACGTGTCTGCTGCCTATGCCTCTCCCGTGTGTAAAGAGAGGGAGACCCTGTACCAGAACAAGGGGTACAGTGGCTTCAGCTGCACTTTCCATGGCGGAGATATAGGAGTTGGAATCTTTGCCACCCTGGCTGTGCTGGTCTTTATTGTGGGAGCTGTGTTGGCCATCAAGGGGTACCGGAAGTTCAGAAAGCTGAAAAAGAAGCCTGCAGAAATGTTAGTGTTTTAGGCTTGGAAAGCCTTCTGCCAAATGTTCACAATGGAAGCTGCTCAGGAGCACACCTCTGGTGGAACCTGCAGATGCTCAACCAGTTGTAGGCCAGCTTTGGCTTGCTGGGTGCAGCTCCAGGTGACAAGAGCCACTTTCTTGGATGCCCTAAGTGCAAATTCTGGCCTCCTCTCTTGGTGATGAAGCAAAAGAAAATTTAACCTCAGTACAGGAGCCAAAAGTCCAGAAGCAAAAGGCATGTCCAACTGCAAAGTTCAACCCTTGGTTAAAGGGCAATAATTGAGTGAGTTTGGAGAACTTTATTTTCAAAGTTCATGAAAAGCTACCTAGTCATGGGATAACATTCCAACTTGAACTTTTCTAAATACAGCTGTCTAAGAATTGCTCTTGGAGTTTTTCCAGACTGAACTCTCAGGTCCTTCACTCCCTTAATAGCCTTGATGGAGGGACTAGGGGATGTCCCCAGGACTGCTATTAGATTAAAGTTGGAGGCAGGCAATGGGCTAGGAAAGGGAGATCAGATTAATACCCTGTGCTGCAAAGAAGCTATTCTACAAGCCCCTTACAATGGCCTTGAAAGCTCAATAAATGTTTTGTACCTCTTGTAAATGTACCATTGTATGAAGAGTCAAGTCTGATTTCTGGAATTCAGGATCTAACAGAACAAAAGAATGTAAAATCTTTCCCAATATAAGAATGCTGTTTTCAGCCAAGAAACTTTATGGGTTCTTACTGCATGTGCTTATTGGCACATTAAAAATATTTTCAATACACGTGAATGTGTTCTTTGTTCTATGTGAATCCAATAAAAATCCAAAGAAAAACTTTAATTTTGAAGTTATGGCTCTCTTTACATTTATCTTACCCCATAATGCAGGCAACTTACTGCATTTAAAAGTTGAGTTTGTCTTTTGGAAAGGAAATGCATAAATGTTTGTATGAGGTTAGCTGTTTTTCTGGTAAATACATAAGAAAATAATAACTATTATTTTATTTGGAGAAATTTTTTTTTCATTTTATGCATGGCTTGACTGCACATGTACTATTTATTTTTTAAATAAAAGATTTTACTTACTCTCCTCCATTTCTACCTATATAAAAACAGAAGTAGCTGTATAATTAAGCAGAGTATTGAATGATCAGCTATACAACCAGCCTCACCTAGAAAGTTTTTCACAACAAAAACCTCTTGTGTCAGTCTCTACTTCTCTCCACAGAGCTATATGCAGTGTTCCCTAAGAATGTTCTGCCTCACCAGAGAGACTTGACTGCTAGCTTTTGCCCTTCTGGTCACTGTCATTGGTGTGTCTTTCTGTACTAACAGTAGTTTGGAAATATGTGAGCTTATTTGATATTGCATGCTAAGCAGATCAAGCCTGGCTGGCAAGGTGATAATAGTCTGTGGCCATATTCCTTCAACAGCTGCAGTAAGGATGACTCAGTCAAAGGCCATTGTTATTCTGATTAGTGTAATCAGTGGGGTGGTTGATAGGATCTAGATCCTTCTCAGCCTCACTGATGTGCATGGCTCCACTGTTCTGGCAGAATCTGTCCCTGAAGGCAAAGTTCATGCTGCTGTCCACCTGTTACAGTGGAAGGTGCTGCCTCTCTTTGGGGAGGGTCAGATATTAACTAATGTGGGCAGGAGAACCAAGGCAGAGAAGGGTGTTAGGTGGAGATTAGCTACGCCCTCCCCCACATTGGAATGATGTCTAGGTTAAGGCTCTGCTGCAGAGAGAGAGGGTAAAATAATTTTGGAGCCCTTGCTGCCACGACCCATGGACCTTCTAGGAATTTGTGTGGGCCCAGGAGAAGGGATCAGCAAGCCCAGTGTTGCTGCCTAAATATGCTGGAGATACTGGTCTGCGCTGCCCGGTCTGTACTTTCCTCTCCACCCGTGCCCCCAGCGTATTGGCATTTTCTGGTTTCTGGAAGCCACACTTTTCATCCATTGGCCCCATTTCTTAAATTTCTCATGAATCCTCCTCTATTTTATAAGTGTTACTGAGGGGCATCCAGATCCACTTGAGCAATATTTTGAGCTTTTTCCAGGTGTTCCTATGCACGTGCTTCATGTGGGCTTCACCACAGCTCCGTGGGGTGGGAGAGGACATTGCTGTCTTTGGTTGTCAGATAGTGTCTGCTGGTCAGTCATGACTTGGCAGGCTCACAGGGCAGCAAAGAATGGGATATGAACCTGGGTTCCACTATCGTTCTCTCTAAACCCTGAGGGAAGGGTAGGGATCCTTTGTCTGAATTTCATCTCAGAAGAGACTGGATCTCGTTCAGTGACAAATGAAAGCCGACATTGGTCAGGCTTTCATCTCCATCACCTATTTGCTCCTGCGGCCCTATGGCTGGACTAGTAAGAAAGCCCCCAGTGGACAGATTCAGTAGGATCCTGGTGGAATAGGCCAGTCTGTGCAACAATGGAGTTGCAGGCCACCTAACAAGAATGTAGACTCAGTGAGACATGATCTGAGAGCCCCTCTGGGAGTAAGAAGTGAGGAAAGCAAGTTGTAGAATGGTGTGTCATGCTCCCTTTTGTTTTGGGGTGGGGGAAAGCAGGGGAAGAAGGGATGAAATGCAGATTTTATATATTTTTAAGTCATTTCACAGTTTAAAAAGTGTTAAATTTTGAAATAGGTACAGATTCACAAGACATTGCAAACACAGTAGAAAAACCCTATGTATTCTTCACCCAGTTTTCCCCAGTGGTGACATCTTGCACATCTGTGGTACAATAGCACAACCAGGAAGCTGACACCCTCCAGAGCTTATTTCAATGTCACTAGCTCTGCACACACTGGTTGCTGAGCATGTGTGGTTCTATTGCGCCTGTAACTTGTGTGACCGCCACCCCTGCTGGACTGTCACATCCCTAGTGCCCCTCCTTCAGTCATTCCCAACCCCTCCCCCTCTCCTTTCACCCCACTGCCTCGTCACAGATCTGTTCTCCACCTCTCTATCATTTTGAAACTTAAAAAAAAAAAAGAAACATGCAGTATGTGATCTTCTGCAGCTAGCACTTTCTTCTCACATCTTAATTCCCCGAGATCCACCCAAAGTACTGCAAAGTCAATGGATCCTCTTTATTGCGGAGGAGACGTTTACCCACCAAACAGTTGGTCTCTATACCAGGTTGTATATATCCTCACACCTGAAAGACATTTGGTTGTTTCTGGCACTTGGCTTCCACCAAGAAAGCTACATGAACATTATGTACATTTTGGGGTAGAACTGTTTATTTCTTTGATATGAATGTTCAGGAGTCTAGTTGCCAGATCATATGGTAAGTGTATTTTTAGCTTTCCAGGAAATTGGCAAAAACTTTCTAGAGTATCATTTCAATTTTCCAAAGACAGAAATCTTCAACCAATAAACCAACAAGGATGTTAATGTTCAATCTGAGCCTGACCTTAAAGTCAGATCGCCAGGGTCTTTCTCTAGCTTGACCTAGAGGATTTTGTGGGTGAGTGACATCAGTGTTAAATCCCGCATCTCTCTCCTTCTAGGTGTGGTACAGATAGTGGAGGTGATACTGAATGGGATGGTTCTCATATGTATCGTGGCCTCATACTTTGTCCTTGCTGGATTTAGTGCCAGCTTCACCCATGGTGGCGGCTTCGGGAACAACTATTACTCACCATTTGAGGGCACGGAGCTGGAGCAGGTTCGGCAGCTGGACCAGAAGTATGCGGTGCTCCGTGCCCCCCTGATATACGGCGGTGTGGCGGTTTCTCTGGGGCTGGGTGTCCTCACCATGGGTGTCTTACTCCAAGGATCCAAGAATCCCTCCAGACTACCAAGCAAGTGGCTGTTCCTGGAGGTGGCGTTCAGCCTCCTGGCAGCAGCGGGCTACTGCATAGGCATTGGCTTTTACCTGCATGGAGCACTGAAGATCAATGCCACAGACACTTGCAAAACCAGAGAGAGGCTCTATGCCCGCAAGGGTCTCACCTGGATGAACTGCCAGTTGGCGGGCACTGATGGAGCAGCAGCCACCTTTGCTTGTCTGCTGGTGATCATGTATAGTGCCAGTGTGGTGCTGGCCCTGCGGCGCTACAGAGAACAAAAACATTACAAAGACAGCCAAGAACAGCAGCACAGTTGCACTGGTGCACCAGAATACCTATGGTCTGGAATACTCTGAGATTATCTTCTGGTATTGAAATGTCAACTCATCTCCCTTGTTTCTCTCAAAAAGATGGGCCCTTTTAAGTCACACAGGAGACAAATGGGTTTTACATACTTGATTTTGTAAGTGTTCTCTCTGGTATAAAGATACACAGATGCCTGTGTCATTTTTCTATCATTAAGTCTATGTTGACTGGGAGTTGGGGGAAATTATCTGCCTTTGCGATAAAGAACAGAGTCAGAAGTTTGGATATGCCTTCAGAGGATTGCTTTTTTAACAAAGGAAAGGTAATCATGGTAATAGCTAAGTAGTCAGGGAAATTCTGAAAGCTGAAAATTACATAGGGTACAGACCCCGTGTTCAAGCAAAAACATCCTAACCTGTCACACCTATGTAGTCACCACCAAAAGAAGTATGTAATTGCCCCCTGTATTAGGTCCCATTAGAGTAATTTCAGAGCAGTTGTGTTTGAATTCTGAACAAGTTGATATGTTCTGACTCTTTCCTAGAGGGAAACTACTCTGCACATTTGGAAGTGGAGTGTGACTGGGACATGGGTGTCCAGAGGCCTCCTTCCATTAGAGCAGGGAGGCTGGTTCCTGATCCTCAGACACATGCTTAGCACACGTTCCTCCCCTGGATTCCTGCAGGAGGGCAGAGAGAAAATGGTTTTTGCTAGCATTTCTCGTTAGTATTTTTCACAATTGGAATTCATTTTCTTGAAATATTGTCTTAAAATGAGGCTTCCAGACAATGCAAACTACAATTAACAAGCTTTAAGTGTGTTACTCAACTGATTTTAAAGATAAAGCAGTTAATTTTACTAGACTATATAAAGGCTTAAGGGAGGCTTCTTCATTTCTGCATTCTCTGACAGGGTCTTAAAAGAGTAGGGTTTCAAAAGTAGACTGTAATCTCTAACATTATTATAATGTAACATCATGAATATCAAATCTTAAAAATAAAGCTTTCAATAATTTTAACCTAAAGGTTCTGGTTTTTTTTTAAAAAAAAAAAGATTTATTTACTTATGCATACAGGACTGGGGCACAGGCCACAGGTGCATGGGTGGTGACAGGATTTACCAGAGATGGAGTGGGGAGCAGAACAGGCAGACTGATGAGGTACACTGCTGAGGGGAGCAGTGGGCGGGCTAGGAGAGATCTGCTGCGCCATGTGGGTCACCTCCCTGGCTGGGGATCTAACTAATACTGAAGCTGCTGCAGCTAGCTTCACAGTGCTTGCCTTAACCTGTTGCACCACCAGGGAGGACCCAATTTTAACCTAAAGTTTTATAGTTGTTCTTATACTTTAGGCAGATCAACAGTGGCAGCTCAGCTGTGGCTAACCCAACAGTTGTCACTTCATTGATCGCTCACTGTACCAGATCTGGTACTAAGGAAGCACCTGTTTGCATCATCTCACTTAAAAGTGCATAACTGACAAGCACTTGTTATTTCCATTAACAAGTGAAAATCTGAGCCTTGGGGAGATCAAATAACTTGTCTGAAGTCAACGCTTGCCTAAAGTAACAAAGTTAAATCTACATACCAACATGAATCACACAGAGGCACCGGTTCTGAATGGCTTACGGCCTTTGGTGTGCCAGAATTAAGATCACATGAAGCAAAGAAAACACTCAGAGAATCTCCTGTCACTTGGAACAGGGAGATTTCTATCTTAAGAATTGAGGTATTAAGGCCAAAGGAGCCCAGCACACTGAAGATGCTAAATGGCAGTTGAACCAAGTTTAAAATGTTAAGTCTGCAAAAAAAATTAACTTGAGCTTTTTTTGGAGTGAGAAGTAGCAAATCTTGTTTGGAAATCCACAGATTATAGGAGACAATGCATGGGAGTGATGGGAGCCAACAACTTAAAAGCTTAACCAGATTGTGAGCCAAATCTGATGTTCTGATTACAAAGCCATTACAGGATAACAAATACGGGGCTAGACTACTGACTTGGCTCCTCTGAAGTTATCATCCCACTGATTTAAGAAGTGCTGTACTGTGTCTACAATATGAGTTTCTCCTAGTCAGCTAATAAGCTGCATGTAAGGAGGAACTGAGCTTCCCATCTTTGGAAATTCTTTAAACATATGTATCAAATCAGAATATTTCTTAATTTAAGAAAATCAGTCCTGCTATTTTGGCTTGAAAGGTGATCAAAAATACTTACATTTGCCTTAACTCAGAGTTTCATAATGTACCATGGAATGTGGTTTCATTTGTTTATCTTCCCCTAAAGAAAAAAAAAGCAGAAAAATCCTAACTGTGCTTCTGGCTAAGAAGTTAGTAATTAGAGAAAATTAGTATCATACTAAATGAAGTATTTGTGAAATAACAGGTTTCCACTTTAAAACAAAGCCATGAAAAAAGATATTCCATTTTATTTTATTTATTATTATTATTGTTGTTATTTTTTACAAACAATAGATTTGCTGCAGCATGCTCTGGCTCAATTATTGAATTAAAAAATTTAACACATTTCAAAAATATCAAAAATACACTATAATGAGTCTTAGGACTACAATACAACAATGATTGCACAAAACCATAAGATATGAACTCACTGTCTGGACATCCATTGGCTACAGTGAGAGAAAACCCTATAGCATCTGGGAGAAGTGTATGAAATTTAGAATACAAGGAGCTTATGTGTGATTGAATGAGGAAAACAGCAGGATTTACTGTAGTTGCTTTTCTCAGTCAAGGAAGTGCTTTCCCAACTATGGGGCAAAAGTCACTAACTGAAGAGAAAGATTGACTTGCCTCCATGATTGGGGGAGTCTGAATCCCAGCCCATCCCCACAAGGAAGTAAGAAGTGACAGAAAACAGTTCTAGAGTGATGCTGCAGACATCACCGAATGGCTTGGAGACTAATTATTTAATAATTAATACATTTATCAATAACAGCCAAGTGCTCCCTTATGGAGGTCTCTTCATTAAAATAACAAGTAGAGAAGGTGAGCCTATAGCTTCCAACTACCAGCTTTTGCTGAAGATCTACATGGAAAGAAGAGCATCATTTGATATTCAGTAGATCAGCCAAACCTAACTGGCTCCATCTCCTGGAAAACAGCACTCGCTACAAACAATTGTAATAGCACCCAATGATTACCAAGCTGCTCATGTAGGCGCTTCTACATACCAGGAAAATGAATTCGTCCACTTATTGCACACATGCACACTCTACAGTATTATAATAAAGCCCTCACTTACATTAGGGAGTGGTATTCAATGATTCTGTGGTAGCACTGCAGCTTTAGGACATACCAGCATTAACATTTTCTAATATATTTCCAGTCAATTTGGGTAAAAATAAGAATATCATGGTTGCCAAAATTCACTATTTTCTTTTTTTCATGGGACCCCTGAACTGCTACCATAAGGAATGATGTTCTTTCACAAACACTCTTAAACGTCTCTACTAACAGGGAGCTACACACAGAGACCTGAGAATCATGCAGAGGCCAGAATCTCTGGACTGGAGATCACCTGCACTCTGCCCACCTGGGGAATACCTCCCCGAGGTTAAGTCCTGGGAAGCAGATTACATTCGCCTGGAGACAGATCACTGGATTTCACCACCTGATTAGCCTCATCAGATCTCATGACTAAAATGACCCAAAGATCAAAGAGTTCTGTCTGTTTTTGGTAGTGGGCTATGGCCTTTTTGCCCTCTGTGCTAATAGAGAGCCATTATAGAGGGAAATGATTAAAGGAAATTATACAAGAGAATAACCAGTTTTGGTATAGCCTAGATGAAAGGTTTTTATACAACCTAATGTTTCCTGAAAATAACCTATCATGAATATTTGGGAGTTTAGAGCTCTGACTAAAGGCAAACACATCAACAATTGGTAAAGTCATGTCAGAACTGAGTTTTGTGGTGGTTCCAATAAGCAGGATGGAAAATGAACAAGAGTTAACAGGTAGGGAGTGGGCTATTGTTAAGTGCCTGCAATAGTAAAGTGGCATGTTCCCCAAATACATTAATTTTCTAGACATTACCATCCCATAATATGAAGGTTCTGCTCTCCAAGAAGGAAGATGCTTTACATCACCCACAACTATCATCTTAGATTACCTTCATTTTCATCTTCCCATACAAAAATAAGGCAGCAACACACCACTGTTCCCATACTTCTAACAGCACCTAAACTCTGTATAAACCACAATGTTCCACAGTTCAAATCAAGACCTGAGTTTTAAAAGTTTTCAGTAGCTGACCAGTAATTAAACACAGAGATATCAGATGCTCCTAACAATCTGGAGACTCAAAATTCAGTTTCTTGAGGGATGGAATGTTAGATAGGGGTATGGGACCCCTAACACATGGGCATGGGTGGGCCTCTGAGAAGACAAAGATTCATAACTACCTATAAACAGGTCATCTGACTTTCTATTGTTGCTTTAGCAAAAATTAAAAAAAAATAATTCTAATAAATAATAAACCCCATCTTTAACATTTTGTTCCTCATGAGACAAATTAAAAGTGGTTGATTTCATTTTCTTTTAAATTGTGAAAGTATTCTAAATATTCACAGCACATTCCCCATGGGGTAAATCAAGCAATGTCAAAATTACATAGAACAGGGATTATTTTTCTTAAGTCTTCTAATGGAGAAGTCAACAGAACAGAAATATGGAAGGAACTGTATTTAGCTAGGGTTATATGGAAAGTGCAAAAAATACAGTAAACCAGGTTTTCTGTAGCTTAGGTCTTTCTCAATTAACTCTTGGTTATTAGTAACTGACCCCAGTACTTCAAAACCATGTGAGGTGGGTAAGCAGTTTTTAGAAGAGTACTCTATTAAACATTAAAGAAATGAGAGTGATAGGAAACTATCCCTCTGCTCTAGAGTAAGAGAAGGAACATGTCTAACCTGTGAGCACCATCCACCCATCTGCTCTCAATCAGCCTGTCTGTTGGGAGTCATCTGCTGCAACTCAAGTTTACCTGGATGCAAGCAGCATCAGCCCTGGCCCTACTGATTAGGGTGCTGACAGCCAGCTTGATCCCATGTTAAAGAAAGAGGCTGTCGCCCAAATGTCTCTTGTCACCTGGGAGAGTCCTAGCAGGTATCACATTTTGTCAAGAAGTTAATTCTTTTTCTGACCTAGAAGGAAGTAATTTTAGTTTGCACTTCTTTCCCATCTTCATCCCCCAAAGAAGATACTACTCCCCTGAGTTTCTCAAGAACTTTCACAGTCTAATATCCAGCAGTTCAATGAATTTCCCAGGACCTTTCCTAGTGCCCTCACAGAAGGCTCCCACACCTGATCAAAGATCATTTTGCCTGTGGACAAAGGTGCCTGGCTGCCTCTAAGAAGATTGGCTCGAGTGCAGATTCAAAAATATAAAGTTCACAGTCAATGAAAAGTGCTCTCATTACATTACATACATAAATTATCTGATTGGTTCTACATTTCCAATAAACGTCATTTTGATAGGCTGTATTCTCGTAGAGAAGAAGGAAAAGCCATGTGACTAGTCACATCACATCCCATCAGTCAGATTGAGATATAAGGTGATTTCTCTGTCACAGAGATCCATCAGCAGCAATTAGTAAAGGAATCAATCTTCAGTTATTTCCTCCACAGAAATAGTCCCTTTCCTGCCCAGGCAGGCAAATTCTCAAGGTTATCCTAGGAGAGAAAGGGTTAATGGCAGGTGGTAGGACTGATACAGAACATCTGCTTTCATCCCAGTAATTCTGGGAATTCCAACGTAGGTTAAATGTGAAACTTAACACTGATGGTGTTTATAGCTTATGCAGAGCAAGACCCTGATAGCTCTCACCATTTTTGGCTCCGGGTTCTACCCCACTCATCTATGTTTGTTTAAAATGCAGGGGCAAAATGCCTGCAGGTGGGTCCCCTATTCCAACACTGCACAGCCTGCTCTAACAGCTGTGGTTCCTGGGGCAGAATTACAGGGCTGTGTCAAACTCCTCTGGGAGCTCTGTCCGGTCTTCTTCGCTAGGCTCAGACTCAGGCCTGCCTTCCTGGTGGTGTTTCATTTGTTCCTTCACTTCTTCTTCTAGGTCACGGGGTACAACAAACTGATCCTCTGGCTCCAGCTGAGTGGGGGCAGCAAAATAGCCAGTTTTCTTCTTAGGTGCTTCTGTGGCCACTTCAATGAGGTTCAGGCTATCTTCTAGGGGCACAACAGAGCCATTGGAGAGTTTCTTTCCATACAGGCAGGAAGTAGAGGGAGATTTCTGTAACTCCATCTTGTTCTTGCTCCCTGGTAGTAATATGCCACTATTCACACTGTTCTGTCTTCGGATCCCCCAAAGTAATCCTCTGGTGAGTTCCTCAGGACATGGGCTAGAAGAGTTCTCCACAAGAGTGGGGGCGTTTTCAAGATCCCTTCCCCTACAGCAGTGGATATCTACTTCTACCTCTACCTTGCTGCCATTTGTCATCACCCCTTCTACAGGCTGATCATCATCACTGTCCAGGCCGTTGTCAGACTGGTTACTTGAGAAAGTCGCACAAGAAGGCTGGCGCTGAAAACCCCCAGAGGTGGGTGCTGGATGAAGGCTGCAGCGCCTCTCTGGCCTTGGCAGCAAGCCAGCATCCAGGCCACCAGTGTTATGTTCATCAGAAGCAGTGGATCCCACTTCACTGCTCACCTCTGAAGTGGACATCTCACTGCTGAACTCAGAGGCAATACCACTACTAGAGGAAGGAGTGGTTGGCTTGGGGGGGTCCTTGATGATGGTGGTTGAAGCAAATCCCACAGGACCTGGAAGAGTGAGCCCATTCACTTCACAAGTGCAGCCTTCCTCACCAATGTTCAAATAAACTACCATCGCACCCACATTGTCCTGACAACCATAGCTCTGGGCTAATGTACACAACTTTTTGGCAGCTGCTAAGGGGTCTTGTACATGGCGTACAGCATTCACAGCTTCTATATAAGACAAATGTTCCCACAATGCTTTGTTTCCCAGAATCAACAACTCATCTTGAATGGTAAGTGGAGTGGATGATATGTAGGGTTTGGGGAGGATCCAAGGGTAGAGGTATGTACAGCCCAGCATCCGAGTACAGCAGGTTACCCCATTCACTTTGTTGTCCTAGAGACAAAAAGAAGCAAATTCTGAGAAATAAGCAACAGTGACATGCAGTTTTATATCACATTGTTTCTAGATCACAATGCTCCAGTAAGATAGAATTGATATGTTATGTGGTTATCCCCAAGATTTGTTATTGGATTTACAGGAATAAATGTGTACAATACACAAAAGAACAAAATGTCTGTATGATCATTATGCCAAACACTTCAGAGGACTTAAGTTAAAACCAATTAAAATCAAGCAGCTAAAGGTACTACTGCCTCAAAAGATTTTTGCTCTAACATTAAGTACATGTAGAGCATTCAACATACTCTTAAATAGGGGAATGTCTGTTAGAGAAACAATAAACAGAACTGTCATTAATTCTTATTACTAGTACTCTCAAAGAGGCTAAATCTCAACAGATTATGAAATGACTTCTCATTTTAAAGGTACAGTTGGAACTGAAAAGATTCAAGAAGCCATCAAATGGCTGACAGAATCTTTGTAGCTAAGGCATAAAGTAATCTTTAAAATGATTTGCTGAGAAAAGGAAAGTCTTGATGGTATCATTTACCTACTCTGTTAGGACTGTACCAAAAAAGAAGAGCAGATCTGGTCAGAACCTACGTATGGAAAGGAACAACCATGTTGCAGGTTGGGAATATTCATCTACAGATACTTTTTACTGATCCTCTTTTTCAGATCAAAAGAAACCTCTAAAGCCACCAATGGATTTATTTTAGAGTTACAATCACTCTCTGGATGAAAATCTTGGTTCTCAATTATCAAAATTTACTGCAAACTCTAAATTTTACTTCTGTCATCTATAAAATGGAAATAAATACACTTCTCTTGTGAAGGTTATTGTTAAGATGAACTAACATAATGGAAGTGCAGTCCTCAAAAATTGAAAGACAAACAATAAACATCTGTGACTAAAGGAACATTTATAAAAACATTTCTTATTTGGCTAGGACCCCATAAGAAAATATAAACATACTATAAAAATGTAAAATTAAACTACTCAACCAAAAAATTATTTGTTTTATCTTTCATTTGTTTTGCCCAAAACAAAGGCCAATGTCCTCAAAGAATCAACCATAATGCTTCCTTTGATTTTGTGCTCCCTAAGGTTGAATCTAAAATGGATAGTCCTGATACAGAATTCTGACACAACAATCCAGAAATGCACCCACACAATTCAAGTCAATTGGTCTTTGACAAAGAAACAAGGGAATTCAATGCACAAAAGAAAGGCTTTCAAAACATACTGCAAGGACAACCAGATGTCCACATACAAAAAGAAGAGAAAGACTCTCCAAGGGACGTTTACACCTTTAAAAAAATTAAATCAATATAGCCCTAAATGTAAAACAGAAATGTCAATTGGTAAGCAGGAGTTAACTTAAAACTAAAAACTTCTGGCCCTCCCTGGTGGCGCAGCGGGTTAAAGCACAGCACTGAGAAGCTGAAGCCACTTCTGCATGAGTTCGATTCCCGCCTGCCCCGGAGGTGACCACATGGCGTGGCAGACCTCTCCTGGCCCGCCCGCTGCTTCCCTCAGCAGTGTACTTCGTAGATCTGCCTGTTCTGCTCCCCACTCTGTCTCTGGTGAAGCCTCTCACCACCCCTGAGGATCTGGCCTGTACCCCAGTTCTGTATGCACAAATAAATAAATTAATTAAAAAAAAAAAAACTAAAAACTTCTGCTATGCACTGCTAAAAGTATAAAAAGACATCAGAGATTGGAAGAAAGTATTTGCAAAGCACAAATCTGATAAGGACTATATTCCAAAAATTTACAAAGAGCTGTTAAAACTCAACTGTAAAGAAACAATCCAACTTGAAATGAGCAAGAGAGCTGAAAAGAATGCTGCTTTGCAGTAAAACAACATTCACAAGTAATTGCGAAGGCCTCTTTGAAAAAGAATGTTACTCTAATTCCTTAAAAAGGAGGAAAGCTATGAAATAGATATACTGGTGCTTAATTATTTTAAAAAAAGCATGAAGTTAAATACACCATAAATGGGAAAATATTTGGAACTTTGCTTCTAAGAACAGGATGTCAAACTATAGCACTTTTCTTCTTAGGAAATTAACCAAGGAAAACATTTAGATTAATTTTATATGCCAGTTATATATCTAAAGGATCACAAATGAGGAATTTTCTATTTTTAATTAATTTACTTGCTTTTGAAAGTCCTTAATTAACTACCCTCAGATTTTCTCTGTACTATTATCTGGACTGGATACAATTATCTGGACTGATAGGAAGAAAATGGACAATACACAAAGCAGTCACTAAATTTGGGAGAAGTGACAGGTGGAAAGCAAAAGTCACCTCTGTTATGATGGCTTTTTGGCCCTTCACCCTTTGAGCCTCCTCTGGGTCCTGTTCCAGGCTGAAGACTTTAGAGAGGGGCACTGGCTTCCCACTTCGGCACAGAACTGCTTGGCAGGTGCCAACATTAGCCACAGTCAAGCTAAAAGTAGTTGTTGGATCGGCAGTATCTGGGCGGATGTAACAAAGGAGAGCAGAGGAGCCCAGCTTCTGGCCAGCCATTCCTAGTTTCCTATTTAGAAAGAAGAGAAAACAAAGACATAATAGTTAACTTTAGAAAAAAATGGTTGTTGTCACATACATGCTTTCCTCACTTTTATGTTATGTGACTATGAATCACACTCGGATATTCACCTGAAGGCTGTCTTTTGCTATGGGACATGATGGTAGACAGTTTTTTCTTCTACTCTTGGTTGAATGAGGAAAAATTTACAAATAGGTTGGGGGTGAGAGAGCCAGTGAAGTACATCTTTCTCTACTGCTTCTGCTTGAGTCTGATCACAGACTATATTGGCCTAATAAAGTGGGTTTCAACTTTAAGACATCAGACTCACCTGGAGGCTAAGCCACAAGAAACTAGGCCCTACCTCTAGGATTTCTGATTCTGTGGGTAAGGGGATGGTTCAGGAATCTGCATTTACAATCAATTTCTGATTATGTTGAGGCTGATGGTTCTATAACACTTTAAGAACTACTCAATCAAGTTGAAAATTTCTTGAGGGAAGAACCATACTTTTCCTGTATTCCTCCCATACAAAGAATACCCACGACCGAGTGCTTAGTATGCAATGCTAATAAGCATAGGGCGGTTCTACCAAGAAAATCTAGTTTCGTATTTCATCTTTGCCACTTAAAGGCTGTAAGATCCTCAGCATGTTAAATCTCTAAGAAATTTTTCGGATAAAACACCTATCTCTTGGACCTCCCTGGTGGCGCAGGGTTTACGTCTCAGTCGGCACTATGAAGCTGTCCATAGCAACTGCAGCCAGGGAGGTGACCCACATAGCGCAGCAGATCTCCCCTGTCTCACACTGCTCTCCTCCACAGTGCATTTCAGTCAATCTACCTGTTCTGCTCCCCACTCTGTTTCTGGTGAATCCTCTCAACACCTGCACCTCTGGCCTATGCCCCAGTTCTTGTATGCATAAATAAATCAATCTTTAAA